CACATATATATATATATATGTGTGTGTGTGTGTGTGTGTCATATACGTTGACACTATTTGGTATCTGGTTGTTATCATGTTATCTGTGTTGTTATTATTAACATGTTTTTTCTGTTGTCATTATTATTAACATGTCTCTATTGTTATTAGTATTAACATGTTTTCTGTTATTATTGTTGTTATTACTTTTATTATTAACATGTTGTCTCTGTTGTTATTGTTACTAACATGTTTTCTCTGTTATTAACACATTATCTCTGTTGCAGCTGTTGACCAAAGAACCGACACAACGGCTGGGTTGCCTGCGTTCAGGATGGAAAGAAGTGAAGTCTCATCCATTTTTTAAACAAATCAACTTCCGGATGCTGGAAGCAGGACTGGTTGAACCGCCATTTAAACCTGATGCAAGTACCTTTTATGATTTATATGACTTTAAATGTAAATAATGTTATGGCCAAAATGCTTTTTGAATGACACAAATGTTGGTTTTCACTAAGTCTCTGCTTCAATGTTTTTAGGTCTTTGTTTCTATAGTAAAATATGCACATTTCAAGAAAAGCTGAACATTGTAAAGAAAAGATCAACTAACTTTGAAGTTAACAAGTCTAACCAGCCCAGGAGATGGTTTATCCTCCACTTTCATTTTGACAACTATGAACAGAACTCATGGCTCACAGATACTGAGAAACGCTGCAGTTTGGATTGTTAGGAATGTCTGATCAACTTGTTGTATGGAGTCACACTGAGTTTGCACACTTAAGTTGTTTAACTGCACCAACAGACAACAGAGTCTGACTGGATGCTTAGAAGTTTTGACAGTTTTAGGGGAAACCCAGCAGGATATGCAGCACAGTTAACTGTTGAGAAAAAAAAAGCACAATAAAATAAGTTGCACAATATAAGTTGAGGAACAATCGGGAAAATGGTTCAATGGACATGACTATTGCCAGGCTGGTGGGGGTGGGGAGGGTCATAACTTTAGAAATTTTATTTTTATATTACTTTAAAAAAAATTTCCTCAAATGATTCATTGAGGGGAGCAATCATAGTTTTTTCCAAAATTGCTGGGTATGGACTGGATCTGAATGTATCAATACTCTATTCTAGGACTGTGTTTCCTTATCATTTAGGATTTCTTAATTTTTATTTAATTTTACTTTTTTGCTATATATTTAAAGAGATTTAATTTCATTGCTCACCCACACTCAAATTGGCAGGAATGTAGCTTATAGCCTGTGTTCTCGCTTAGAGTCAGGATTTGGATGTTTTGGATGAACAATTTTCCGTAAGAAAGTTCTCATTTATGACAATAAACTAAATCTTAGGATCCAAAACCTAGACATTTTGATTCTAACAGCAAAAAATAAAAAAACCTCCCGTCTATTCAACCACTGCGCAGACTGATGATTGTAGTAGGTGATGTAACACACATAAAAAGGTTCCCGCTGTTACATCGAGTCCTCCTTCATCTCACTCTGTCCTCTGCATCCTCTGTTCTCAGTCCAACTACTGTCCTCTCTGACTGCATCCGTATAGCTTCTCTTTGTCTTTTTCCTGGCAGTTGCATCTCTTACATCCACCAATATACTCACTGTCCCTCCTCCAGACATGTCCAAACCAGTTTAATCACTGTCCCTCCTCCGGACGTGTCTCTCCTAAATCCCTGCTAAAACTTCTCTCCATCCACTCCATTCTGCCTGGACTCTACTCTTCTCTTCTTTACCTGTTTTCCTGGAGCGTGGACCCTAAGTCCTTGAAGACCTTCACCTTTATGACCTTTGCAAAAAGGTTTAATGGATCTAAAACATGGTACACTTCTTCTTTTTGTTTGTGTAGCACAGACTTGTATACTGCAACGATGTGCAGGACATTGAGGAGTTTTCTCCAGTGAGGGGAGTCGTCCTAAATCAGACAGATAGCGAGTTCTACGCCAAGTTCAACACAGGAGTTAATCCCATACCCTGGCAAAATGAGGTGATCTTCTTACTGGATCAGAGTGATTAGTTATAAACCGGGATGCTCAAATCTTATCTTTTCACTGTCTTCTGCTTAGCTTATAGAGACAGGGTGTTTTGAAGAGCTAAATATTTTTGGTGCTATGGGAACTCGAACTCCAGATTTGGAACAGCTCCAGGTTACAAACAGCCCCAAACGCCGTCTCCTGCGTGGAATTTTCCGCAGACGGGTCAGAACACAGTCCAGTTTTATGAATGGTTTTATGGCATTTACAAGGTTACTGATTCTGTCTCTTCTTCCAACAGCCACCCTCAGGTTCTGATGAAAACAGCTATAATCTGATACCCAATGAGGGCTAGATGAAGTCATCAGCTCTGCTCTCCAAGAACAATCCTGAAACTGGAGCATCCAATGCAGCAGCAAATTCTTCCCTTTAAAAAATCGGACACTTTTTTTGTGTGTTTGTATTTGTGCTATCATTTCCCTCGCAGCTACATTACAGCAGCACTTGTTTGTTTATTGTCCATACCACATTGTTTTGAAGAACAAATGAAATGGCTGAAGTTTTAATAAACTGTTTGTTTTGTTTTTTTTTTTACTCTGGGGCTTGTCAATCACTAATGTTCACACTGACATAAAAAAGGATCCTAAAACGTCTTCATTCCTGGAAGAAAACTCTAAACTAACTTTGTAAAGTTTTATCTTAACCCTCTATGGTATGACTTTTTATTTTAGGAAAAAAAAATATTTGACCCTTGTTTTTAGGAACTTTGTGGTCCCTATTAATATACTGATCATACAATGTGACCCCCCCCCCCCACCAAGATTTTGGCTTGTTACCTCTGGGCAACAACATGCTATAAGGGCATTAAAATGCCAAGGTTTTTCTACATTGAATAACAATGGAATGAGGAACAAACAAGCAAYAAATACATTTTTTTTATTTTAAAAAACAAAATTTTGTTAAAAGGGCAGATATAAGATTTTTTCTTCTTTCTGCCTCCTTTCATTTCAAGTGTGATTTTTTTTCTTTATTGTGTATAAAATTTTTATATGAAATTAATAAATGAAATAAAAATAAATAAAACTGTACAAGCAGAAGATGTACTGTGAGGACAGAGTACACAGTTTAAAAACTTGCCTCTCTGATGGTATGGAGGTGCATTTTTGCCTTTAGCATATAGGCAGCTTACATCTGGAAAGGCAACATCAATGCACAACTCAAAGCCAATGAATTGTGCCCTCCCAAATACTAACATGCGACAAACAGGAAGTTAATATCACCAAACATACCCATTTTATTTAGGTGTATCTATATAAATGGCCCACCATGTTATTTATCTGTGATTGGGCAGAGCCTAATATTTAACATTATGACCTTCAGTTCTGGTCAGATCACATCCACATTGAGATAAATAAGATTAAATCTGCTGACTTGAAAAATGAGAAGTTTTCCGGTTTCTGTTCGGTTGGTAAATCTATAACAGCTTTCTGACATTTTTACAGCTGACATACACTCTGCAATATAATTTTTGTTAATATTATTAATTTTTTTATGATTTCTACATTATCAGTTTTTTTTTTTTTTTTTTTTTGCTATGTTGCCAACGTATAAAGTAATGGTAAATCCAGACTCATACTCGTGCTTAGCCCCCTAGCTTCACACAGTCACATGGTTTCTGCGCACTCCAGTTGTTCTAGACTCTAGAATCTAGAGCAGTGGTTCAAAAGTAGCTGGCAGCTGGAGGAAGTTGCTGTGTACATTTCAATGTGTTTTCACCTACGTCTGTTGCAGAACAGTTGAACTGAAAAATGTGAATTTTCCACTTACTTAAGTCGTAAATTTTAAAGTGATACACCTCTCCAGCTGCAAAGTGAGAGACTTCAGAATTCAAGATGATGGTTACTGAACAATGAGTAAAACTTGCTTACTTTTACTTTTAATAGTATTTTTGTTTAATTTATTTCACATTTACGTACATGTAGTACTTTTCAATGTTTATAGTGTTAAAACTCTTTCTATGCAGGAAATACCATGTAGAGATCAATCATTAGTGGGGCTCAGCCGTAGCAATGGGACGAGGAATGTGACGTTTAGTTGAAGTTAAACACAAAACATTTAAGTAACTGGCTTTTTTTATTTTTCGTTTTGCTTCTGCTCTCAGCGAAGAGGGACGCTTTCTTCCCTCTCTCTTCAGCCTCCCCTTATCTACCCTGCTTTGCTGCATTTTGCATTACATAATTAAGAATTTTATGTTATTTGGGTGATTTTTTAATTTTTATTTCAAGTATTTTACTTAGTTATATTTGAAAACCCATTTGTTACCAAGTATATAATATATACACTCACCGGCCACTTTATTAGGTACACC